CGCGTTTCCTGCTGAGCGTTTTTAGCGCGATTTGCTGTAAAAGAAACGCGCGACAAACGCGCATTTCCGAGGGCTATCCCGCTGTATCCTAATGGATACGCGCAACAAATACGCCCCAAAGAAGCTCCTGTACTTCTTTGGACGTAGGGCGTTTTACAGTGCGTTCCTACGCGCTGTAAAACGCCCAGGTGGGAACCATGCCCATAGGCAATTATTGGTTTTCACATGTTGAGCGTTTTTACAGCGCATAGGAACGCACTGTAAAACGCCCAGGTGTGAACCAGGCCTGACACCTCTGTCCTCCTCTTCTCCGTCGTCCCACGGAGTCTGTGCGGGTGTACGCTGCTCCATAGACTTACCTTGTGTCTCTCCTCGTCTCCCGGCCGAACAACTGAACTGCGCATGCGCCCTCCCCAAGATCCTTTGCAGCCGCCCGATAAATTTTTAGATGTTCGGACGGGAGCGCACGGCGGAGACGCAGGTAAGTATTAATCCTTTGAAAAAGTGTTTTTTTTTTTAAATCGTTTTACATATAGCTAGTGCTTGCTAGCAGTAGCTATATCCAAAAACACGCAAGGGTTTAATAACCCTTTAACTTCAAGTGACACTAAAGTTAAATCTTCGAAATACATTCAAGTACCTTAATTATTAATAAACCTGTATCTTGTAGATCACTCGGCTGTAGATCATCAAATCATCTCTGAATTTGTGCTGACACCATTCTTCCTTCTGGAGGGTGGCTACTATTGTTCCCCATGGTCCCTGTGTGTGTGTTGTAAAGTAGTCACTGCTCCAAGCTCACTCCTGTGATAGACTACAATCTCATATTTGGTTTACTAACTTGTATTGAGATTGTAGTCCATCACGGGAGAGCGCTTGAAGCGATGGCTACTTTACAACACACACAGGGACCATGGGAAACAAAAGTATCCACCCTCCAGAAGGAAGGACAGTGTCAGCACTAGGGCTGCAACAACGAATCGATTAAATTGATTATGAGAATAGTTGGCAACTATTCTCATCATCGATGAGAGAGAGAGTTCAAAAAATAATCAGGCAACGAATCGATTATGAAAATAATCGTTAGCTGCAGCCCTAGTCAGCACCAATTCAGAGATGATTTGAGGATCCACAGCCAAGTGATACACAAATAAGATACATTTTTGCAAACAATTAGGGTACTTGAATGCATTTTTAAGATTTAACGCTGGAGTTTAGTGTCACTTTAAACAACCCATCTGTTACAACATGCAGGATATTTTGAAGCTTATTCGTTAGCGCTTCTCCCTAGCAGCACTGGTTCGAATCCCAGCCAGGACACTATCTGTATGGAGTTTGCATTTTCTCCCTGTGCTTGCATGGGTTTCGTTACACTAAAGACACGCTGGTAGGTTAATTGTCCCTTGTACAATGTACAGTATGTAAAGAGCTGTGTAAACTGACTGCACTATATAAATACCTAATGAAGGCAAAATGAATACGATTTTAGCTGTTGATCTGCTACATTTTGTGAAACCGCTTTAGTATGAAACTGGGTAAAATGTATGTTTAGGACTGCACTGTAACTGTATCCACTGATTTTAAAATGTCCAAAAACCTCTTTTAAATGTAACCCATAGGCTCATCCATGTGGATGTGGAGTAGGTTAATACCATTCTTTTCTGTAGTGTCTCCGCAGGTGTGTTTAAATAGAAGTCATTTTAATGTTGTCTGCAACAAAGATTTGTTACCACCTGGCTGGGAGTTGCCTGCAGTTAGTGACAGTTGGTGGCATGAAGAGGGATCTATTGTTTGTTGTCCATCAATTAGATTATCTTGCTCACTGGTTCCGATCTGTTGCCTCTTCTTCTTTCTTTGTGCCTGCCTGAGCTTCTTGAGGCACGCTTCTAGGAGCAGATGTTGAGAAGGAGTTAAACTCGCAAGCTAATCGTTCTTGGCAATCTTCTCATGTAAATGAGTACACTGTGATTCTGGCAGCTCTACACACTTCGGAGTGGCCGCATGCCAATTTCACACAACTGCATGCTGCTGCTAGGGAGGTAAACATTGGCGCACACACGTGCGTGTCGTCATGCTATCTCCTGATTCATGGTGGCATTGTTGTCGGGGTATCTGACACTGCACATTTTCCTGGGAACTGTTAGACCCCTCAGGTTATTGCCCCACTGACAGATGCTGGATGTGTGCCAAGAGCTGCGTGTATCTCTGACTCATTCACTCTGTCTGCCGCTTTCATTTCCTCCTTTACAGTAGCAGCAGATGTTAAGGATGTGTTCACTTTTATTCGCTCTCTGTCTCCCCTGCTCCCTAGAGATATGGAGCAGAGAGACATTTTTTAAAATTCAGCACGATATATTTTTAGATGTGTTGTTCGAGAGTTGATTTGCTGAACACGCATCACTAGCCTGTTTACACCATCACATCGTTTAGAGTATGGTGGGCCCCAACTCTCTCCCTTAAGCTTACCACACACATTACAGTTTGACTTTACAATCTACTTTAGATCTACCAACAATGCTGTAATGCAATTTGCCTGAAGCTGGCCATACACTTTACAACCATCGCACGACTTTCATCGTGCGATGGTTGTAAAGTAATTAAAAGCTCGTACGATCTACCCATCTTGGACAGGCAGATCGTACTTGCGATCATCGGAAGCTCTCCCCGCTGAGGGCAGGGCTTCCAATTATTCCAATGCTGCACGGGCTGTGTGCGCTTGCGGCATTTGTCTCCTGAGAACGCCACTAAAGGTGCCCATACACCTGCCGATTATCGTACGGTAATCGTGGGTGATCCCGCGATCGTACGATAATCGGCAGGTGTATGGGCACCTTTAGTGGCGTTCTCAGGAGACAAATGCCGCAAGCGCACACAGCCCGTGCAGCATTGGAATAATTGGAAGCCCTGCCCTCAGCGGGGAGAGCTTCCGATGATCGCAAGTACGATCTGCCTGTCCAAGATGGGTAGATCGTACGAGCTTTTAATTACTTTACAACCATCGCACGATGAAAGTCGTGCGATGGTTGTAAAGTGTATGGCCAGCTTAACCCGCCGAAAATCGTACGATTCTCGGCAGGTTTTCAAGCCTGCTTGGGAGACAAAAGACGTGTGATCGTACAGTGGAAACGGTCGCACGCCTTCCATACACCTGCCGATTATCATACGATCGCGAGATCACCCACGATTATCGTACGATAATCGGCAGGTGTATGGGCACCTTGATACACCTTGATAGTTTAGGTAGGTACTCCTATTACATCTTGTACGACAGCCAGATTGTAACATTTATGGTGCATTAAAGTGCATAAGTGGCTATAGCAAATCTACACTATTTATCGGTCTCAATTTGTAGAGCGGGTGGTTTTGATTTTCCAAGCCCTGATAGAGCCCTAAAAACCAAGCCTTCGCTATGCAAATGTCAAGCACCTGCATTTGCAAGCTCAGGCCCACCATTTCCTGTTACTTAGGTTGGTCCAACACTTTGGTTGGAGGTCTTGTTGGCCAGCAGTGAGCTACAGTGGCTAGATGTGGCGGGTCAGAGCAATTAACCAAAGGAGTTGCTGTTGGCATTTTGGAGTGCCGTGATTTTATGGGCTCCTGGAGTATTCTGCACTATTGTGCAGGGATTTGGTGATGCCTACTTTGAAAAGTAAGCATCACGATTATATGTTTTCAATGCCCACAGATTTTCCTTGTAAGACCCCGTTCACATTGAGCGATTTATGGCGCGGTAATTCCCACGATATCGCGGCAAATTACCGCGCGATATCGCGCTCCAATGCAATCCAATGGGGCAAAGGGTCCTGCTGTCGCGGGTCGTGTGTCGCTACAGCAGGACCCTTTTTGGAGCGGATTTAGCCGCGATTCAAGCTTGCTCAATGCAAGCTTGAACGCGACATCGCGCGGCAAATCTCGCGATGTCGCGCAATATACAAACGCGCAATTTGCATATCGCGCAGTGGGAACGGGGCCTTAGTGGACTCCACACATATATGAATGTACACATGAATTAAAAGTTATACCAGTTTTATCTAATAACTGGTGACTACATGTACAGTGGTACCTCGGTTCACAAACTTAATTCGCACCACGATTCTGGTCCCGAACCTAATCAAACTGTGATCAGACTGCGATCTCGAGGAAGCCAAGACCATGTCTCAGCAGGGAAAATGGCCACGGTCATGTTCGTCACCCGATGCGGAGTTCGTGAACGAAAGCAAAATTATGCCAAACTACATGTTCGCAAACCGAATTGTTTGCGAACAGAAGCGTGAACCGAGGTACCACTGTATTATTGAGCAGGCTGGTGCCACTTTAGTATATGTAGGAAAAGAGAACTCTGACAGAGCTTTTTTTTGTTAATATCATTTTGCCCTCAGTCATTGTTTGTTAGACAACCCAAAATGAGATTTCATTGCCATTTCAACATTCTTGTCATATTTTACCGGTCACCATATAAAAATGCAGGCCTACTACTGTGCCACAGTAAACATGTTTCTCATAGCGATCAAAGTTGACTAAACCTGGCCATATACTAGTAGAGTTCTGAATGAACGTTAATACAAAAGATCTTTCTTTTACAACCAGATAATGCCATCACACACAGCGATTGTCAAACGAAATTTCATTTTAACATTCAATTTTGGAAGGAATTGAGTTTCCCCAACAAAAACCACATTCAGTGTTAGAATTTTCATTCATTTATAAAAAAAAATTCCATCGTAATCCTTTTTTATGATTTTGTTTGATTTTCGTCACTTTGGTCAAAATCAATTTTCGATGTGTTCGTATACAGTATTATTCTGACTGACAAACTACAAAAATTCAAGTGTGTGTATTTTGCACTTCTGAGTAAGGTTGTTTTTTTTGTTGTTGGCGTTGATGGCTTTCTAGATATTTTTGTGTATTGTGTTATGTAATTTGGTTGATTAGTACTGTCTTTTTGTACTGTCAATTAACGTTTAAATAAAGTTTACTTTCATGTGCTTGTTTTTTGATAGCTATATGAACTGGATGGGGATCCAAAAAGGAAGGAGTTTCTGGATGACTTGTTCAGTTTTATGCAGAAGCGAGGTAAGTGCTGTAATTAGCATTCACTTTGTGCGGATAGTATATCAAATTGGGGTGCTGGCTAGGGAGTGGGCTGATGTTGAATTTCTTCTGGGGACTGGTGTTTGATCTAACTGGTCTCGCCCACCTGGGAATCCTGCATTCCAGACCCCTCCACCACCCACACAAACACATATGCCTTCTGCCCTCAGGGGGAGGTTTGGCCTTATCATCAAAGCAATTAGAAGAATATGCTGGGCTACTGACCATGGGAGGAGGGCTTGTTCACACAACACATGCATTGCAGGACTTGTTATTTGCATGTATGTTAAAGGCAATCTACCTATATGAGGGCTCCAGGTATTTTATGCTTGGATTTTTAGATTAGATTAACACACACACACACACTTGTATGGCTTATACTGTGTGATGAAAGCTATTTCAGTGTTAAGTACTACAGTCATTGAATAAGGCACAAATGATTGTCGCCGGTAACCTTTTATAGCATTGACATTTTGTAGAAAATCAGTTGGTTAGCTTGAAATGTTTTTGGTCTCCCTTCTCATTATTGAGTAAGGGCTTGTGGCAATACTGTCTGCAGCTTATCAGATGTTTGTCTGGCATGCACGTCAGTGTACAAGAATGTGGAATAAAACAGAAGCTCCTACCAGTGTTTGATCTGAAAAATATCAGGCCTGTATGTGTGGGTTGCTTTTTACAACACTTTAAGACTAAAGCGGGCCAAACAAGAGTAGAATTCATTTTGAAAAAGTGAGTTTTCTAATAGTTATTGAGGCAAAGTCGGCAGTCGATGTTTGACCAAAGTAAGGAAGAAAAAAAATCAAAGAAGCAGAATGGAGATTTCTTTGTCGAATTAACAAAATTCTAACAGTGAATGTGTTTTTTTTTTGTTTTTTTTTTTTATTCAAGAAACTCCATTCATCCCGAAATCAAATGTTAAAATCACGTCTCTGTTATCAAGTCTTTGATAGCATTATCGGGATATGTTTTGTTTTTTTTTGGTATGAAAATTCATTCTAGCAGTGTATGGCCAGCTTAACTGTTCACATCCAATCCGACAACCTAGCATAAACTAATTTGGGAAATGTATCAAAATCTAGAGCAGCTTTACATGGCAACCAATCAGCTTCTCTATCATTTTTCAATTTTTAACTGAACAAACTGAAGAGAGAAGCTGATTGGTTGCCCTGGGCAACTGCTCCAGATTTTGTTTACTCCAGTTTTGATCAATTCCCCTGATTTTATACGGAGAGACCACTTGTTTATGTTTCAGACACAGCATGGCTGCCACTAATTTCTAGTGGTCTTGAAGGGTAATTCCACTTTCCCAGGCGAATTTGAGAAAATGGAATTACCCCAATTATAGCAAGAAGCACTTCTCATTTGTGAGCAGAATTTAAAATGGAATCACAGCCTTGCACTTGGTATGTACAGATAGTAAGCGTCGCAGGGAGGCGGAACTGGCGGGAAATTTAAAAGTAAAAAATTGAAAAAAAAGACAAACAAAAAATGAGATAATCAGACCGCCAGGGAGGTTAAGGAGACATCTAGGATAGATCAACTAATGTATTACCTTTTGCGTCAGACGCTGTGTGATGGTCAGTGAAGTTGTGTACCTAGTCAGCTGGGTGAAGGAAGGCACAAGTCTTGTGTTCTCATTCAGTTGTTAACCCACTCACCGGCAGACATCATACATTGAAATATATGTGTAAAATGTTTGTGTGTTAGAAGGAAGAAATCACCTTATCTTGCTATTTTCTCATTAATACATATGTATATGAATAAACTGTGAGCATAAAGCAAGATAAGGTATATTTTTGAAATCGCATAGATCAACTGGAGACGGTGTCAGGCCTAAAAAAAAAAAAAAAACAATACAGTACATCATCTCTGGTATATATGCATGTTTCCCCCATGTTTTACCACTTTAAGGAGTTTGCATGTACAGAAAAGTACTCTGCTCCTAAGTGCTGTTGTGGGCTGACAACCCCGTATTTTGGTGGACTGTGGGTTGCCAGTTCTGCACAGTGTCATTTATTTTCTAAACTACTTAAACCCTCCCACTCTCTGATTTTCACAATAGAAAAAAATCTCACCCCTGACCTGGCTACTTCGGTCTACAACAGATTGCTCTCCCCCTCTCTAGACACCTTGGCTCCCCTCACTACATGCAGACCCAGACCACGTCCGCTACAACCGTGGCAAACAAAAGAAACCAGACATGTAAAAAGACATAGCCGCGCTCTGGAATGACTGTGACGGAAAACTAGGCTTCTGCAAGACTTTACCCTGTATAAAGCTGCCCTCCTAAAATATAATTCCTTCCTCCGTGCTGCCAAACAGACTTATTTTGTCACTCCTATTAACACACTCATCCAGACCATCTCAGCTCTTTTCTTCTTTTAACTCTCTACTATGTCCGCCACCGCCCACTAACTCCCTCAGTGCTTTCCCATTGCCATTCATTTCTAAAAGAAAATAGATACAATTCGGGATCAGATAGTCACTGTCCAATCAACTTCCCCTATTAAAGGAGAACTATGGGGTCAGTGTTTTTCCCCATAGTTCTCCTTAGGGTAACGGGAGGACACAAACTAGCGTTCTCCCGTCACCCTAAGCTCAGTATACCGCGAGCTACAGCTCGCGTTATACTGAGAGGCCGCAGCCGGAGCGGATCTCGACGTAGATGACGGGATCCGCCCAGCTGCGTGAGTGACAGCTGACTCTGCCTATCTAAAGGCAGAGCTAGCTGTACCCGCCCCCTCCCCCCGTCCGTTCCGCCAGTCAGCGCTGGCAGATCGGAGCGGAGAGAAGGGAATCCAGCCCCTCCCCCTGTCACGGCAGAGAGCCGTGACAGGATCGAGAGGTGAGCGAACCTGGTATGTGTTCGCTCACCTCCCGATCTACTGAGCCGACCTGTGACCGTCTCATTGTCACAGCACGGCTAGAACTATGAGGTGAGTGGAAATCTAAACAAAGTGTTGGCTCTACATAACTTCAAGTTGATCATTATGTTATTACCTATAAATGAAAACTAGTGCCATTAAGCATAGAGTGAAACGACCTTGTGAGAGAGTCAGATTGTTCATACATGTCAATACATTCTTTGATGTCTATGGCCAGTTTAATCTTTTAGATCAGCTCGAACCTTCTACTTTCTCTAAGAAAATCAAAACAAATGTTATTTGTTCTTATTTCCACTTTTAATAACATATTAGACGTGTTACTGCAGGCAGCTTGGAATTTACCTCCAGTTTTTGTACAACTGATCTATTTTCAAAGCAATCAAATTGTAGTTAGGCAGAGAATCTATTGGGGGAAGGGGAGGAATTCTCTTGAAGTCCAGACACCATGTCCTCAAACTAGACAAAGGTCCTGTTTGGGCATGTACTGTTTTAGAGTAATCTATGCAGTATACTGGGATCAACTCACTTAGACATAACATCATTATTTGTGTCATTTTCATACATGTTGATGAAGTGCTGACGATGCTTTTGGTTGTTCTTTCCATTAGGAACCCCTGTGAACCGGATTCCCATAATGGCCAAGCAGGTTTTAGATTTGTACATGTTGTATGTGCTGGTCACTGAAAAGGGAGGACTGGTTGAAGTTATCAACAAGAAACTCTGGCGGGAGATCACTAAAGGCCTAAACCTGCCAACCTCAATCACCAGTGCGGCCTTTACCCTGCGCACACAGTGAGTACTTGTAACGTGTGGTTAAACTGATACGCTGACATTGATAGAAATAGAGATGTGCAGTATGCTCTGATAACCTAATACATATGTACAAACCTCCAGACTATCCGGTTGGTATCTGTCAAGTAATATACAGTGATAAGTATGTGAACATGAAAAAATATCACTTTGCTTTCTGAAAATAGATCTTTGCCATTTACAGTTGGCTCTCCCCCTTTTTATTTTCCCCCCTGCTTTGTGGTCATGGTCACAGGTGTATCTCAAAACACTATAATTCTATCTATATCCTATCTATCTAATCTATAATTATTTTTTTACTTCTGCACAGGAGAAGTCTAACTCTCTATTTCTGTTCTTTGCCACTATTTTGTTTTTTTGTGTGGCTTTTTGCCTGTATATGTATATTTTAGGCTTGGAATGTAATCAGTAGTTATTCACAACCGTTCTTTCCTCCTCTGCAGATACATGAAGTATTTATACCCCTATGAATGTGAGAAGAGAGGCCTTAGTAATCCTAATGAATTGCAGGCGGCCATTGACAGTAATCGCAGGGAAGGACGCAGACAGAGCTTTGGGGGCAACCTTTTCACATACTCCCCCAGTGGAGCTCCAAGTATGCTTTCCTCCCCAAAGATGCAGGTCTCTGCCATGGCACTAGGAGGCATTGCAACAAATGGGAGCTCCCTTACCTCAATCCAAAAGCTCAAAAAAGGTGAGTAGATATATAGGAATCGTGGTCAGCTGGTAAGGATGTTTAGCTTCCAGCAAGTGACCAAAATGCAGTGTTTTAAATGTTGATTCAAAAAAGTGCTGCATTATGCACAGATCTAAATATGTTTTTCTTCCTTCTCAGAGGAGGAATCCCCATTGTCATTAACCGTGCCATCCAGGATACCAGTTAACTTGACTGGGCACTCTATGGTGGCAGCTCAGATGGCCGCCCAAGCAGCAGCCCTAGAGCAGCTTCGAGAAAAGCTGGAGTCTGGGGAGCCTCCGGAGAAAAAGTTGGCACTTGGGTCTGAGGAACAGCAGCGTTTAGTGCAACGGGCTATCCAGCAGAACCTTCTGGCCATGACCTCACAGTTTCCCATGAATATCCGCATAAACAGCCAAGGTAATGCAACTTATTTATTACAAGTATTTATATAGCATCAACAACTTTTACGCAGCACTTAATATACGGCACATTCACATCAGCCCCTGTCCTCCAATGAGCTTTCAATCTAAAGTCCCTATTGCACACGCATACAAGGCCAATTCAGATAGGAGCCAATTAATCTTGCAGCATGTCTGTGGAGTGTGGGAGGAAACCCACGCAAGCACAGGGAGAACATGCAAACTCCTTATAGATAGTGACCTGACCTGGAACATCATCTAAATTAGCAGAAATTGAAGTACAGTAAATAACCTGTTGACCTTATTTACCTACTGATGAGACCTAGGGAAACTATAGCTAAATTGGTACAGCAGAATGATTCAGTTAGAATTTAGGTCATGTAGTTGTAATTAGCCATTTGAGTCTATTTGCTTAAATGTCAATTGAAAACCACATTTTCTTTAGCAAGTTATATAAATACTACAGAGTCCAAGTGACTAAAACCATGAATATTTAGGCTGTTTTTTAAACATTTTGGATATTGATTTGTCTTCAGAGAAGCTACATGGTGTTATCCATGGCTTAGTTCTCCGGTCTTGATGAGTGTACCATTTAGATTTATCTGCTTAGATTCCTTAATGTGTTTCCCATTGTTTCTGTAACCAAAAGAAACCTTTCTTCACAGTGTTAAGTTGACATAATTTGCAAGTTTATATAGATGGGTAAAACACTGTTAAGAAATGTAAACAATGTAGTGGCAAGCCTTCTATTCCTCTGCCTTCCAGAACAACTACAGACATCACAGCCTTCAGACACAGCTGTCCAGCCTTTGCATAAAAAATTAGTAATATTGAGAATGATATGAGTTCTGACCAAAGACTGTGATGACTATTGCCTTTATCAACAGAGTGGCCTTAAGGGATTTTAGGGTGGGGGGAGAAAAGACACTTTATTCTAGTGATGCGTAGTTATGCATTTGCCCTGAGTCTGCTGGAGCTACTGACACTACATCAAAGATGGTGGTGCCCAGCGGCAGTCTTGGGGCCTTTGGACGTCTACACAAGGGAAGCTTTTACAGGTAAATAACAAGGTGTCAGAAATTAGGTGTGCTGAAAGAGTGCTGCAGTAGTGTAATAATTTTTACACAGCTGGCACAGAAAACATTAGGAAGTAACGTTTTTTTGTGTGTGTGTGTATACACACACACAATGAATGTGCACTATGGGATAACTATATTGATAATAGCTGCTGTGCTTTTGGTGTATTATAACACTGGACCATAAACAATAAAAAGTGCGCGGCACTCTCAAAACCATGTAAATAAGTGTGCAAATTTCCTCAAAATGAACATAATCAAAAAGCAAAATAACACATTATTAACATAATTTTCTAACATGAATTATAGTGCATCAAACCTTGTATAGAATTTATCAGGTGTCATATACTATTGCAATCAAAACACTGATATGTCCTGGTCATATATAAAATATTACAAAAGTGAGATGGTCATATACAGCTTGGTAAGTTGATCATCTTATCGTTATGCCACAGGCAGTTCCTTATATTCTATATAAGGTTTGATGCACTATAATTCATGTTTTATAGGAAAATTATTATGATGTTAATAATGTGTTATTTTGATTATGTTCACGTTTTGAGGAAATTTGCGCACTTATTTACATGGTTTTGAAAGCGCAGTGCACTTTTTATTGTTTAATGTCATACATATGAACCTTTTAAAAGTTTGCTTATCTCTAGTGATGTATATGCCTGGTACAGGCTGACTGTATTTGCAGATTTTTTTGTGATTCGGAGAACCAGAAATTGCCTGATGGAGATCCTGATGATTCATAAGCTTTCTACAAATGCTCTTAAAGTGACATTAAACTCAGGAGTTAAATCTTAAAAATGCATTCAAGTACCTTAACTATTAACACTTATTTTTGCATCACTCAGCTGTAGATTGTCAAATCATCTCTGAATTGGTGCTGACACTGTCCTTCCTTCTGGAGGGTGGCTACTTTTCTTCCCCATGAAGAAGAAAAAAAATCTCACCCCTGACCTGGCTACTTCGGTCTACAACAGATTGCTCTCCCCCTCTCTAGACACCTTGGCTCCCCTCACTACATGCAGACCCAGACCACGTCCGCTACAACCGTGGCAAACAAAAGAAACCAGACATGTAAAAAGACATAGCCGCGCTCTGGAATGACTGTGACGGAAAACTAGGCTTCTGCAAGACTTTACCCTGTATAAAGCTGCCCTCCTAAAATATAATTCCTTCCTCCGTGCTGCCAAACAGACTTGTTTTGTCACTCTTATTAACACACTCATCCAGACCATGCCAGCTCTTTTCTTCTTTTAACTTTCTACTATGTCCGCCACCGCCCACTAACTCCCTCAGTGCTTTCCCATTGCCATTCATTTCTAAAAGAAAATAGATACAATTCGGGATCAGATAGTCACTGTCCAATCAACTTCCCCTATTAAAGGAGAACTATGGGGTCAGTGTTTTTCCCCCATAGTTCTCCTTAGGGTAACGGGAGGACACAAACTAGCGTTCTCCCGTCATGGGCCCTGTGTGTGTTGTAAATTAGTCACAGCTCCAAGCTCACTCCCGTGATGGACTACAATCTCACGTTTAGTTAACTAATTTATATTGAGATTGTAGTCCATCACGAGAGTGAGCTTGGAGCTGTGACTACTTTACAGCACATACAGGGACCATTGGGAACAAAAGTAGCCACCCTCCAGAAGGAAGGGCAGTGTCAGCACCAATTCAGAGATGATTTGAGGATCTACAGCTGAGTGATACACAAATAAGATATATTTTTGTTAATAGCTAGGGTACTTAAATGCATTTTTAAAACGCCTGTCACTTCGAGAGTAATTATTGGCCGAGTTTGTACTGACTTGTTAATATTATTATAACAAGATAGTTTACTCCAGAAGGGTGACTGTCTTGTGTTAGAAATCACACTGAATTCCCATTTCAGTGTATGGTCAGTAACATTCCTGAAAATGCATACAAATTCAATAACCATTCTGGATCATGAAACCTTTTTGGGGTTTTTTTTTCTCCTTATTTTGTTTTCTATGTTTTTTATGCTGTATTCTTATTGTGCTCTTCTATTTCAGCTGAGGGCAGACATGACTCTGCTGTTAACCTCACTACCAATGGCACAAACAGTATTAGTATGTCTGTGGAGCTCAATGGTATTGTATACACAGGTAGGTCAATATATTCTAACTTGTATTGGATTGATCTCTTGTTTTATTTTCTGAAGCATTTATCTAAAGAATCTTCAGACCCTAACTTGTACCACCACAGAGCTCCCACACATGCACAAGATGTCTAAATTGGAAGCTATAATTTGTTTTGTAATGCAGGTAAACCTGGCACCATGGTCTAATACCACATGTGTAATTGTGTTCCAAATGTATATATACTTTTGTGTCATATGATGTTTTCCCAAGCAAATGACCAGCCAGGTTTGGGTCCAAGAGACTGCAGAAAAAAATAAGGGTTAGTCTTCTTTGTTAATCTTGGGTCATCATAATTATATCTTGGTAGCGGATATAACAAATATTCCCTTGTCATTATGTTTAACACAGGAGATGAACCACCTTTTCAGTCCTGTATAGTACTGGCATTGGTGGGTTGCATACTTTTCTCCAATATTAGTCTACTCGGGAAAGCATCACATTTCTCGTTTCTATTATTATTTTTGTATTAATTGAAACAATGACCTGTTGGAGCAATATACAATCCATATTAATAATGTTATATTTGCCTCTAAATATATTTAGTAAAGGCCAAAGGTTGCAGAGGGTCAGCATCAGGGATGTTGAAGGAGGAGCTCCATAACATGGAGAACGGGCAAACTGGCGCTAGCCAAATCTTTTCTAGTTCTTGCAACTTCTAAGCGAACAATGTGGACCAGGATGCTGGCATTTGTAAATGTGCTGCAAGGTAGTATTTGGATATGTTTGGAACTGCTAGCCCTCCCTGTTTTCGTAGTACAAACAGGATGTGGATAGTCTCTGACTTTTTTTTATAGTGCCAAATGAAATCTAAAAATAGATTGTTTCTTTCAAATCTGGTTTGGGACTTTGATGGGCAAAGTCTCAGAGATGAAGAAGCTTGGGGAGAATGGTCATTTTAACTGATGCTATACAGCCTAAGTGATAAGGGTGGAGATTTGCATTTTCATATGGTCTGGTATATATCCTTGAAGCCTATTTTAACCTTTGCGGAGGTGTTTTCAAAAAAACATATGCCAGCAATTTGCACAAAGTGTAGGTGAAATGGGCAGATGCAGCTGCTGTGTAAGAACCCACAAATTTACTTTGTCATTAGCTTTCCTCTTCATCTCCTCATGTAAAAATGTCTGCCTGTGTTTTGCAAGCTCCTTCTCGCCTCTCCCATTCTGAGTGGATGGTAAACATCGCGATTTAACAGCCTTTGAACGTGGAATGATTGTTGGCGCTCGGAGCCATGGAGTGAGTATCAGCAAAACAGCAGAATTCGTTAAATGTTCAAGAGCAGCTGTTGTTAAAGTGTTTAAAGACTGGACTGTCAGCCGAAAATCTGGTTCTGAACGGGCGAATAGTGGCAAACAGCGACATCAATGTTATGGCAAAACGGAGATTGGCAAGACTGGTACAAGACAACAGAAGGGCAACAGTGCAGATGACACTGCATCATATGGGATATGGAAGCCGAAGGCCTGTTTAAGCACCTTTGCTGTCTGCAGTTAACAAGATAAAACGTCTCCAATTCGCACAGGAACACAAGGATTGGACAGTCGAGCATTGGAAAAAAGTCATGTGGTCTGATGAATCACGTTTCCAGTTGCATCATGCAGATGGCAGAGTGAGAATTTGTCGGGAACAGCATGAAAGCATGCACCCCACATGCATGAGTACAACCCTTCAAGCTGGTGGGGGCAGTGTTATGGTTTGGGGCATGTTTTCCTGGCATTATTTGGGCCCTTTAATTCGTGTGGAAGAAGGTCTGAATAGCACAACATACCAAAGTATCGTTGCTGATCAAGTTCATCCTATCATGTTGATGGTGTATCCCAATGGAGATGGCTTCTTCCAACAAGACAATGCGCCATGCCACGGTGCTCGTATTGTGCAGGAGTGGTTTCAAGAACATGAGGGAGA